CAATAAAAAAGATATATTTTGTCGTCTTTCTAGTGATTTGATATCACATTTCTTTTGTATGTTATTTTTTTTATAATCTCGGAAAATCAATGTATATTTGTTAATGTTTGTACTGTCAGGTAGGTTTGTGAAATAAATTTGATAACATTAATTGTTAATATTTAATCATTGTCTTGAACAAGCATAACGATGATTTAGTCCATTGTGAAGTTTGAGTATCTGTGACCAAGGCGCCGCCCATACTGTTTAATTCGTTCACAAAAATTGATTTTTCCTGAATAATCTGATAAGTAAATTATGCAATAACTTAAGGTAATTTTATTCTGCGTATTTATAAGACAAATATACCATAATTTTTAGACAAATATTCGCATATTTTACAAGCAAATATAACCCCACACTATCAGAGCTTAGTGAAGATCGGCGTTTTGTGAAGATCCTCGTCAATAAGATGACGCAAAACCTTATATGAATGGCCAATATTCATTGTAATATATCATATATACTGGATAATTGTAGAATCACCCCAGTGACAATATAATATAAAAAAACCCTACAATGTCTACTGGCCTATTGTTATGAAAATATTTTTTAAGGAATGTAGTATATTAAGGTTAAAAAAAGCATTTCAATGTTTCACACAATGAATGACAAATATTATTTTAAACAAAATATGTTTGCTGATACCGAAGTTCAAAACGCTTTGAATATCAAATATCAAGTATATGTAATAATGTTATTTTGTAAATCATCAAACAATTTTCTCAAGAAAGTAAGTATATATCTGCAATTAAGTTAAGAATTGAATCTATTATTTATGACCATGTTAGGTCTGACTGAGTGATTTATGTGATGTGAACTAAATAAAGACAATTTTGCCCTTCAATGCTAGATTTATAACGAGATGTAAACCTGAAACATGCCTAATTGTCATGGTATTTACTTCGCCGATGTGATTTGGTTTCCCGAGAAAGCTATTTTCAGTCATGCACTCCAATCGTCCTTTACATATAGGCATGCGTGGAAGTAAAACAAGTTGTTGAATTTTGTTAGAAAAAAAGATGATTGAAGTAATTTGAAATAAATCTAGTGGAAATTGTAAACACAATTTTAATGGGCAAATTTTTTTATCCAGTTTACCTCCCGGCTATGTTTGTTATTGGTGGTCGTCAGATCCTTATGCGTAGTATTATTTAGGAGCATATTGTCATTGACTTGCAGCTTGTCACTTACGGCTCGAGTCCCCACAGGGAGGTTGGATTCTTTCTTTTGAGAAAACTATCCAGATAGGTCGACGATTTCACACAGGTAGCAAGCTCGTGTTTGACAAAAGAAAATGCGGAGGAGAATCCTAGTTTTTCATCCGCCAATAAAGCTGGAAAGTTGCTATATGACCTACGGTGTGTTGGTGCGACTAAAAACCCAACAATTACAAGATGAAGACATAATGTTTTTTGGTGATTCATTAGCCATGTTTTCTTCCATGTTTACTTCAACAGACGCAGTATTAAAATCTGATGAGACTCAGTAGAAACTCCATGTCTATGTTCTATCCTTTCAATAGTTTTCACGACACCATTTAAGTAAAATATATATGAGCCGCATCACGACAAAACCAACATAATGGGTTTGCGACCAGCATGGATCCAGACCAGCCTGCGAATCCGCGCAGTCTGGTCAGGATCCATGCTGTTCGCTATCAGTTTCTCTACTTGTAATAGGGTTTGTAAGCGAACAGCATGGATCCTGATCAGACTGCGCGGATGCGCAGGCTGGTCTGGATCCATGCTGGTCGCAAACACATTATGTTGGTTTTGTCATGACGCGGCTCATTATTATGTTATTATAAAATTTGATAACTGTCTTTATGTAATTACTGGCAGGTAATGCAAGATTTGTTATTTGCCAACTAGTAACATTAATGAAACTAGACTGCATTGATCGGATATACGCGAGCAACCTGTAATATATAATGACACTTCCCATTTGGTGATTTGTTTTCCTAGAAAGTTTCGGTATGAAGATATATGTGACCTTTATATTGGATCATCTCATCACCTTAATAAAAAATATCCTTGCGATACAAAATATAAAACGTTATGTTTCGCGGAACTTTTTTTTGTCTTCAAAATACACTTGTACAAACATTTTGTACTACGCAAAGCCGTCTTCGATAAAATAGTGAAAAACAGAATCCCTAAATACAGCCCAACAAAACAAGTTTGTACACAACATTATAAATATCAAAACAATTATAATTAAATTGGTTTTTTTTGTCAACTAACATGATGTTGCAATGATTTTCATAGGCGAATTGTCAAAGAAAATAAATCTCTGTCATTTAAAATGTTATAGTATACTTGTAATTATAATTTCAATTTGTTTACTATAATTTTTGAAGATTTTGTTTTTTTTAGAAAACAAACCGATTTTGGTAGTCAAAGTTGATGGACACGTTGAAATCTACTAACCTTATCATTATTGCAGTGTACCTTGAATTTCAGTTTGTATACCATCAAATCTATAGATAAATTTTGTATTTTTTAATTGTAACTTTAAACAGAATTTAAACAGATTTTGGGAATCAGAAGTTCGGTGTTGTTATATTTTTCTGGTCCTTCGGGATCATTGATGCCTCACTATTAAGTGATGAGAATTGAAACCGCTCAGGCCGGTGCTAGGGGGCGTGAGGGATGTTGCACGTATTCATTATCCCTCATGTACAGGCTCAATCAAACCGAGTCTGCAATTCTTATGTAATTTTGTTGTGATTAATGCTTCCGGGGGATCACTTTGTTTCCAGAATTTCATGAACATTTGATTTAATCTTTCGTTTCCGGTTAAGCTAGGGATTAGTTTAAAGAGTGACAGGCATTGGCAAAATTTTTATTATGAAACCAAGACTGTGGCCAGCGTCAAAGAGCATTATCGCAGAATATTTGAAAGAGATACCACCCCGAACAATAGACTCGCTCGCCTAGAGATAGATAAGATCATAATTATATATTGTAAATTTTAGGAGTTCTTTTAAAAACAACTTAAAAATTTCAAAAGGAACTAAACTGAAAACGCACTATTATTATTGCATTGAGAGGCAATCAATAAACGACAACATATTTTAACTGTAACCAATATTTATGTAGGGATATAAACGTTATTATAATTTCTTTAGAATCGCTGTGTTCAATGATTTAATTCTATACAAATCATGTGAACACTGGACCTTTAAGTTCAATTATATGTGTAAATTGTTGAAACACTGTTTGCTATAAGGACGTGACGGAAATGTTTTATATTGCCAATACACACTTTAAGTTTCGCTAATTCAGAAGATTCTACTACAAACTGAACGTTCGCATTTGTTTTCCACTTATACTGTTAATGATTTTTGCAAATTCTTCCTCCCCTTATTCAAAATCTGAAACCTGCCATATGATTGGGTACATTGATAAGTCGGAAGCTTTCTTCATTACTTTCAAGGAAAAATAAGTATTTCGAAATATTTATACTCATTCATCATTAGACTTTTGACAGTGGCTGTCGTTGTTTTTTGTAATCATTTTGAATGCCATCATGTCATAAAAATGAAAACAATATATAGTGATTATTTCTTTTCATTTCTTTTATTTTTTTCCAACAATTTATTATTATAATACTTTACATATAAAATATGAAAATAATTTTATTGCAAATCCAAAACAATGTATACATAATAAGATATAATCATAATATTTTGACATGTGTTTCACTAATTAATATATACTTAAGAAAACAAATTATTACAACCATAAAATAATATATTGTGTGAAACTAAGCGAAACTCTCATAAAATATTCTTTATGTTCATCAATTTTCACCTTCATATCCTAGCTACAAGTCAAAATATACAAACGTAAGTCTGAAGGTGCACATAGGTTGGGTCTTATTCTACACCGTGTTGCAAAATAAATATAATTTATGATTAATTTTTTAAATTTTATTTGATGTATCAAACGCAGTATTCAAAACAATAAAACCAGAGTTTAATTAATTTATTGAAATGACGATCATAATTAATTTATTGAAATGACGATCATATTAAACATTCATCTTTCTAAGTGGAAAAAAATACAAACATAAATCTTGCAAAGAATGTCAGAAAAAAAGAATGAAAAGGCTGGCGCAGTCGCAGCGTCATCATGCTATGTATACTCAGTACTTAATTATATTCCATTTATTATATGTGGCAACAAATAGTATTGAACAATTAGTAGAAACATTTTGAGATTGTTATTTTTGAAATGAATATGATTTCAAATTGTATCTTTATTCTACGAAAAATGTAAGATCAACTGGAAGTAACAACGATTTGAACGTTGGTTGTCTAAATCGGACATTTAATTTTCTACACATATTTATCCCAGCAATCACTTATTATTTTTTCTCTCTTAGCTAAGTACCAGTAATTAAGCGTGAGACTCAGATATAAAGTAGGAATCACGCTCTCATGCCCTGGTTTTAATTTCTCACGTACATGCTGTTGTACTTCACATAATGACAGATATTATTATTTATTTTAAACTCGCTAACTTGCGCGCATCGCTGTTTGATGCGTTTATTTCTCGATTCGAGGCGAAAGACATGTTGATTTACTGGAGCATTTTGCATATGAAATTCAGATTGCCTTGTATTGAAGAGGATCATGTAGGATCCTCAATTTGTGTGAGTCTTTTTCCTGCACATAATACGGTGCTGTAGAGCCTATGGAAATAATCATTTTATTGTTTACATAACACTTTTTTTGTGTGTTTTTTTTTCTGCTAAAAGCAAACTGCATACAAAAAGTTAAACTCGATAACGTCAACATTATATATTATTCGTATTCAATGGTAAAATTAGTTTCACAAGTTATTTTTTAATTATATTTTGTTTTTAATTGAAACATACAATATAACCTCTACAGAGAAATGCCCTCTTGTTGCTTAGAGTTAGTGCTCAACATAGGTAAAATGCCGTGGAAATCTTTAGATAAAATATGTTTTGAAGGCCGCTCTGTTATAGTGTAATAAAAAAAGTTGGTAAGTACGTACACGCAAATCCGAGTAGCGTAGTGTTCGTATTCGAGTCTGCAGTTGCGAATATGCGAAAATCCTTATTTTTAGTATGATTTTCGCTTCCAAAATAGTTTTAAAGTTTGTCACAGAAGTGTTCATTTTTTAATTTATAAACCTATTATCATAACATTTTATTAGATTAATAATGTATTGCACAAAGTTAAAAATGGTAAGCAAAATAAATGTTGTATCTTGAACAGTTTGTTTTTAAATATTCTTAACATATTTGAAGATTATTTCTGCTTTTCATTTATCACTTTTTCGGCACATTAGTATGTATATCTATTTTGATTGCATTTTTTAAAAATGTGTTTTATCACTTGGCACGTCTGTCTGTATGTGATTTTATGACAGTGTTCAAAAGCTGAAGTAACTCAAAAAACATTCAAACGAGTATAAGCTAAGCTACTAAATGTACTTACTTCAGTCATACAGCAATATGCGATTCTTACTTTTTTTGCGCTGAAATTAGTCATTTCATTTATAATAGAACACTTTTTACTCTTTTATTTGCAAAATATAAAACTGAAATATGCATGAGACTGGGTCCAGCAAATTGGAAACATATTAATAAAAAGCCTTGTCGGAATAAACATTGTACATTTGCTCATCTAACATATGCATTTCAATGAAAAAATAATCAACAATTAAAAAAATATATTTCATCAAGTCCCTGTGTGATTTTAAATGTTCGACGTAATAAAATTGTTATCTGGTAAATTCGTTGAACTCCAACGTCTATTGACGTCACCAAAAACATTCCTTGTTACTCATCCTTCGTTTTATTTTCAAACAGTAATAGAAAAATATCTTACGCGTTGACCCTATATTTTTATTGCATAAATATTTTCCTTCACGATTTTAATGCATTCTTAACAAATTATAGCAAAATTCACCGTGTTGATCTTTTTAATGTCACAATTGTTATTGCGATGACGTGCGATATTTTCAACAGATTTGTTCGTCAAAACAGAGGGATATTAGCCGTAAAATCACAGTATATTTATCAAAGTTAAAAGAAAGACATCAAAGTAAAGGCAAACATCTACTGAACATTATAAAATTTAAGCGTAAAAACAGGCCGTTTTATCGATATAAAAGTCACAAATCCTACGCCGCCGATAGAGGGCGTTTTGACGTCATAGTAACGATTAGTCTTTACAAAATAATGCTGCGGAAGTAAAGCTTACATACACGTATCTGCATGTTTGCATACCAAAAAACATCAAGATCTGAGATGTTGTCAAATTTCGGTCGGAAAGTAGCGAGCTACCTTAATTACACGACAGTTATCGGTTATTTTGTTACATATACAGACGTCACGTGTAACTTAGAGGAAATCCAAAAGTTTCGACCTTTCATTAACAATTTGGCGTATGTCATCCATGGATTTACCTGATAAAAGTAAACTGAACAAATCTGGCAGTAAAATATTTACAAAATTGAAACGAGCTTCAAATGCAACGTTTTTCTTAGCTTCCTGTATTATATTGTCAAATGTTTTGCTTGTATTAATATCAACATTGTGTAAAGATTTAGTCGCATCATATGCAAACACGAAAACTGAACGCTCTGCTTCATTTCTCCACTTCCTAAACGCTAGGAAAAGATCTGGTTTTGATATTGTTAATGAAATACAAGTATATAATTTCGGGATTTGTAGGAGGATACTACCACCCTGCTCGAGGCAATCTGACAGGAAGTTTATGACGCCTTCCTTCTCCTTACCAAGCACAGCACCTTTCAGGAGATTTCTCTCTGGTATCATATAATTTGGTAAATGGTTGTTAGTGATGCAGTTTTTAATGAAAAATATCGCTTTTTGAATTAGATACACTATATGACTTGGTGATAATTGACCGAAATGTGTCATTTCCATGACCCAAAAAATAACGTTTTTTATCACATACGAGGTTAGAAATTTACATTTTGGTTTTAAAAGTGTTTTAGCCATGATTTTCAGTAAAACATATGCTTTCACTTGAATATCAGAAAGACTTGACACTAATTTCTTTTCTGCTGTAGTATAACATATTCTCCATTCATATTCTTGCATATCACCTTGTTTGCTACCGATTGGAACAATATATCCTTCCATTTGAGAAACTTCATGTCTAACCTTTCGAGGTGGCCACGCATAGTTCCTTGTCCTGTTCGTCCATCTGCTTAAATAATTACCCCCATAGAAGGAAGTACAATATACGTAGTCTGTATCTATATCACAAGCAAAAAAATGTATAGCAGGTCCAGTTAAATTGAAATTGAAATTTAAGTCGCTCAGATTGGGAGGTATTGCACTTTCAATTAAACGATCTTTAACTCCTTTATTTGATATGTACATGTTTTTCCCTTCAACCTTGATGTAACCTGGCTCCGTATTAGTATAATCAGCTCTTAAAACAATAAGGTCGCCATCCGCAAAACTTTCATCAACGCATATGACATGTTTAAATATTTTCATAATGTCTGTATCACTATCAGACAGTCCAACACCTTCGCCTCTACTACCAACTATTAAGACTGAACCCAATGATGATGCATTCGTATATATTTGAGAAACTTTATCCATGTGTTCTGCTCGATACACAATTTGCTCTTTACTGAACCCCAAATAATCTAATGTAGAACATATTGCAAGAGATAAGTTCTTGTCTTCAACAGATGACATTGTCACTGACTCAAAGGTAGAGGATCATGTGGAGTTGATTATCTTAAACATCAGAACACTGGAAAGGAAGCAAGGAAGGAGTTAAAGCAAACGCAAATGGAAGTTTAATTAATGTATTGATGCGGTAATAAAATGGTTTTAAATGTGAAAATAATGAGCTGAGTGAAACAGTTTAAGTGAATGGTAAACAACTAACCAAATAATATTTCGAGTAGCAAACGAGTGTTTTTCAAATATTAAGTGTGCCTATGAACTGTTTGCCGAAATAATTTAGTCTATTGAAATTGTGTTCCAGTAACACTTATCCTAACCCTCATGTGATACTCTAAACGTATGTTTTTGTCTATTTAATCTAAAGATAAAAAAAAATAAGAATTTAAATGTAATTTGGTATAATTTAGTCTGTTAAATAAATTTACAGTGTATTTATATTTGAATATGTTGTATCAAAAATATGTTATTAAACATCCAAAAAATAGTTTGACTTAGAAAATATTCCCTTTTACTATTTTTGTTTCGAAACCTTTTATTATTAATAGCATTTCATATTTTTCAAATTTGTAAAAAAATCTTGAATTTTATATCATTGCGTACATATTTGTTTAGACTATTCAACTTTTATTTGAAAGTATCGTGCAAATACATGCGATAAAACCTTTATCTACATTTATACTAATTCATATATAAATTCTAAATTAAAATATTTAAACTATCGTACCTGGAATGTATTGCAGCGAGCCGCCAACGAAAAGTAGCCTTGGAGCAACATGGATAAACTGTTTATAAGGAAAGTTCACTGATGAAAGTGAGGAATTCTTTTATTATTTCCTTAATTAACAGACACTCGATGTAATAATAAAACCACAAAATTTGTTCTTCTAAACATTTTCTACTAAACAAACAATATCTTGTTCGTAGAGTATTGTTTATACATTGTTTATAATTAGTAATAGTTTTCAGTTTGACGTGGCGGTTTTAATTCCTTTATCTAAAAATTAAAATGCATATAGCGAAACATGCTTTTTCGCAAAGAAGTTAAAATGCCATTGATTCTGAAGCCATACCATAAGTCAATCATGCAAATAATTCATGATTCTGGTGCCACCATTAAAGAAATAAAGAAATAAATAAAGTTTAGTTTTTCTGAACAAGCAAATCTAATTTTCAAAATAATCCACTGGTACTTACATTGGAAGGGCGATTAGTTCAGTCCTGAATGTTGTTTTATATAAACCAACCATATCGCTAAATAACAAAGCATTAGCAAACTAAAGCAAACTTTAATGCCGTTTAGATATATTAAGTTCATATTCATTCAAGGTTGTAACAGTCTAGGTAGTATGATAAATTTGTCTAACATGTCATTGAGACCAATTTTAAATCATATTTGTGTATAAATTTCTACAGCTTATTATCATTTAAACAGATTTTTTTTTCAACATTGTTATTGAGTGTCCGGGATAACTGCCATACTTAAGTTACATCAAATGAAATACATCGTTTCTAGATTATTTTTTGCCTTAGACAAAGAGTTTTCTAAAAGTAGCTCCTGTCATTAAAGACAGATAGGTTACGTCTATTTTAAAGTGAAATTTAGGCAAATTTGATGTACCAGTATCAATGTAATTTACATTACTGATATTATTAAAAGCCCATTCTGTGTTGGACTTCATGTCAGTGGTTTTTGACAATTGGTTTGTGTTTTTATTATTTTTGAGGGAACCTCCTCTTTCAAGAATTTACCAGAATATCAACACATGATTTAAATATTAAGAGTTTAACATAGTGAATACGTGTCTAAACTAAAACAACAACGTAAACAGTCATTATAAATTTCATTTGACACATTGGCGTGCAAGCAAAGAAATCCTTACGCTGTGTATAACAACCTTTTGGGTTGAAACATATATGAGCCGCGTCACGACAAAACCAACATAATGGGTTTGCGACCAGCATGGATCCAGGACCAGCCTGACGATTCGCCAGTCTTGATCAGGATCCATCGTTTGTTCGCTTACCAACCTATTCACAAGTAAAGAAACTGTAGCAATCAACGTGGATCCTGATCTAACTCTGCGGCATGCTTCAGGTGGTCATGGGTCCATGCCGGTCGCAATACCCATTAGTGTTGGTTTGTCAATGACCGGGCTAATCTATGTATAAAAAGGCTCTCCATTTATGTTAATCACAAAAGTTGTAAGCGTATCATGAGAGAAAGTGTATGTTCGGAACCGACGATAGTTAATCAACAGAAAACAGAAACAATCAAACTAGGAAATGTTGTTGATAAAGGGGAACACACATTAAGTAAAAGAACTATTAGTCCTTATTCAAAACACGGCATTTTCCTATAATTTAAGAGGGAATATTATTTCGAACAGTTTCCAATTAAACATTATTTACTTTAATCTCCTTTCGTTACGAACGTAAAGTGTTCCATGAATTAAAGTATAATCAACAACAACAGCAACAACAACAACAACAACAACAACATATTATGATTATTTCAAGCGTTGTATAATAGTAAAGGTCTCAATGTACATGTACATACTATAGTGAGATATAGTGAGCTAAGGTTTGAAATAGTTAAAACAAAATATTTTTCAAAATCTATATCAAAGTGTTGCATTAATATATGTATGGAAAATATCCTGACGATTCTGCAGTATGAAAAAACGTTTAGAACAATAATTCTTAATATTGTCATTTCAGAGAACAGTATCGTTAAATGACTAAAAAAGCGGGAAAGAAATGGTCGAAACAAGCAAATTGTTTTGTTTAAATTTCCCTTACATTGAACCTCTTTAAATATATACTTACCTCTTGCACTTAACAATAGTTAAAGTCATTTGGCCACTTTTTAAAACTAAGAAAAATAAGGAAAAACCAAACAATAACATCTGAATTACACTAATCAAAACAAAAGTGATTTAAGCTTCCTTATTCAAAGCCGAACAATATAAAACTAGAAAGATCACTTAAATCAAACACTTAGTATAAGAAAATAACACATCATAACAGTTCAAGTGATTTGGAATCTCCATTTCAAAAACATCCTTTTCATATGGTGGCTGATTTGGAATACTTTTGTGCGTTGTGTTGTCGCTAGCGACAGCACGACAAAGCGCCAAAACGGTGCGTTGTCGGCATTAAGTCTTGTCTCCTGCACTAACGAACACCAAATGCGGATGTTGTGGCATATGTTGTCGCCAATGTTCACATTGTTGCTTCAGGTCAAATCAAAAGCATGCGACATCGCTCGACGCTACGACCAAGCACGACCAGTGCGACAACCCGCCAGTTGCGCTTTGCTATCGACAAGAAGAAAATCCAGATAACATTTGGTCTGAAATGATATACATGTGGTTGTCAGCCTGTCAACAACCAGAACGCGCATAATGTACAAAATCAGCCACCGTATTTTGAACCCTTAGTCTTTTTACATCAACAGAATCTACAAATGCAAACCAAACATTTTCTGACACGTGCATGCCGCCTTATCAGTGTCTACACTCACGTTCATAATTTGAATTTTCCATTAAATAATAAATGTTTTTTTTATTTCAAGATTGAACGATAGTCAAGTTTATTTTATATATTAAGCGTGTTAAGTTAGACCATGGGTAATAGGCACATAAGGAACTGTAAAATTGACACCATAGGACAGTTATTTGTCTTAAAGCTCACCTGTATGCAAAATTTAAATAATATTACCGTGTGTTTTATGAGTTATGGATATATTTCCGAACAAAAACTTTGCTGTTATAAGGGCTTTTTCTCAGGAATGAGGAAACTAAATAATCTATAATATAATCATTATGAAAAATGTTTTCCTATTGCTTATTGTTAAGAAAGAATTAATAACACACAGGTAACAAATAACACGAGCAAAATGATTGTTTCTAAACAAAATGTTTTTCATATGTATAAAAATGTTACCTTCACGACCCACTTTAAACACTTACATGTATTTGACCATTTCACTATATAAAAAGCTTTATTCAAAATACACCTTAAATTTACCACAATGAGGGGTTGTTTTCAAAGTTTGCCTAAATTTTTTTAAAAGTACTTTAGTTGATCATGCGAAATAAAAAAATTATTTTACCGTGCAATTTTTATTTTATTAAGCTTTGAAAATATCTGGTATCATATTTGATATTACATTTGGCATTATTTAGCAAATAAATACTTACAATAATTTTATAATTAAAATCAAACACTTTTTTCTTTCATAAGGGATTCGAGAGATACATAAATAATGTTAAAAAGAAAAAAAAGAAAGAAACAAAGTTGCACCTTCTGGGGTTTGAACACACGCCCCTCAATTTCAATGTAGTTGACAAGTCATTCTAGCCTAGTCTTCAAAGTGGGAGTAATGCATGACCTATGGTCTACCTTAAGAATATTGGCAGGAATTTTGTTCTGTGAATAAAACGCAGAAAAGAGAGAGTAGTGCCTAAAAGTTAAAATGTGAATATGTAAAGTATTATTAGAATCATTACGTCATTTTCCATCATGTTAGTTTGTAGCACAAGATTTTAAGTTTTGATATATTCTTATCTTACTTATCCAAGATAATAATTATATTAATGATTCAAATGCAATTACTGTAAAGAATAGTTAAATGGTACACCGCCTGATGATGACTTTATGCTTGAATTATTTTTATTGTGCACGTAAGTGTATAACCTTACATAACTTCTTCTGCATAAACCTGATCTCCCGCGGCGCTTCTTGAAAACATACTGAAGGTTGAACTTTTCAGCGTTATTAATAAATTCGATCTATAACATGTACCGAAGAATATAGCGTCACCGACAAAAGTATAACCCTCCGCTAAAGCCTCTATTCATCAGTATCTCATTCAGGCTATATTCTCCCGTCAGCAACTTGTATAACTAATAATATCGTATTTTGCATGCATGGAAGTTTTCGAACTTGAACTTGATGTTACCTCCATTTAAAATATGTCCCAAAAGACGTTCTAATTTTCTAATAGAGACGTTTTCTTCGTGTCGTGCCTTGTGTAACAACAAGATATAGGTTAGGAGGTCGTATAACGGAAAACAAACACAGGTATTCAGTCTGAAACAATACGATTAGAGACCATTGCTATGAACAAATATCCCTTTATTTAGTAACGTCTGTTCTCCCTTGTCTAGTTTTCTATTCATTTTGGACACTTTATTTCCTAATACTTTTTACATAATACGATATAAGTGCTGCATTGATTCGTGGAATTTTCTTAAAAATGTTCTCCTTGAAATCGCTTGACAGTGATGCTCATCTGGGATTCATTCGGAGATGGATGACAAACTATCTAATATTGGCATGACTATAGATAGACAATGGAGAGACAATCTTACCTTCCTGACACATTAATATTAATCTGTCATTGCCATTAAACTGTTCAGAAAGGACAGAAATGTTTTACTTTGATTAGGCCCCAGAAACGTGTCAGACATGGAGAAAATGCAACCATTTCCGAACACTATCCTCACAAAGTTAATGCATTAATATTCTGCAGATCTTTTCTTTAATAGTATATTTTAAACAAGGATTGCACCCCTCCTACACACATACATATATTATACTTGCTGGCATTAAGTTACGTAGTGTCTATACTTTACTAATCATAAGTCAACGTATTACAAAATAAATGTTACTCGTTTTAAAGTGCATATGCTCAATTCGCTTTTAATCTAATACATAATGAAAATTAAAGATTAAAAATCTCGTAATACTCTGAAATTAAAGGAAACACATTATTCTGGCTTAAAGTTTATTTG